TTTTTAAAGTTACTACTAGACAGATTTGCTCGTCTCAGTGTGAACAACAGCCCTGCAGAACTAAACAAATGCTCACATGTTGCAACTTCACTGAATTCCCACTATTGTTTTCAATGAAAATAAGTCTTTCAAGTAAGGCCATGGATGATTATTTGTGGTCACAGTGGGACGAAGTTATCACAGTCAACACTAAATGTAAAATGGCTGCATTTTATTCCTGCTCAGCAGCACAGGAAATATCTCTGCTTGTGATTGTCTTATTTGAAAGAATAGGCAAGTAAAATATTTTTTAGAGTACTTAAGTAACAGTAAATCCCAGAAAAGTTACTTAAGTGGTGTAATGAAGTAATGCTACTTTGTTACTCCCCAACTTAGGAGTCAGTTATCGTAGTATCTAGTTACTAAGACATGAGATTCAAAAAACAGTGCTGGTTACTAGAATCAGTATTATCCACAGAAGTAAAGAAAGTCTGGAGTTAATGTGCATATATGTTTTTAATTAATATTTTGCAAAATAAACTTGCTTTATGCATACATGTGTTTAATTTATATATTACAAAATAAACATGCTTTGTGCATATATGTGTTTAACTTACACATTGCAAAATAAACATGCTTTGTGCATACATGTGTTTAACTTACACATTGCAAAATAAACATGCTTTGTTATGAATATCCCTAGTTCAACAGCTGTACATTAAGCAGTTAGAACTCTTCAAGGCTTATCAGCATTACTTCTGTACACTATCTTTTTATCTATAACATCTGCTGCACTATTGTTACAGGAAAAGAGGTAAAATTCATTGTTCAATTCATCTTTTAAATGACCAGTGGTTGTAATTTCCTGTTTATCTTTAACAGAGTTTATTTCTTTTTACTTGTCTCAGATATTTTAAAATTCTTAGCTAGACTCTTGAAAATCCAGAAGTTTATAAGATGGGATTTTTTTATCCTTGTTTCAAAGGTTAAAAAGAAAGTTTCTTTAAGCTCAGCATTTTAAAAATGGGTCATAACTATACAAAAAACTTAAAACAAGTATAGTTAGAAACTATAAGTTATGGAAGACTGTTTTTAAATAACACAGGTTTGTGAATTTAAACCTCATAAAAGTTATTTTGGTTTTAATAGTGCATTTTCTATAATTAAGCTACTCAGGTTTCAAAAATAATATTAATTTTTTTTCTATCATGTAATTATTTTTTTACAAATTGGGAAGAAGAAAAAAACTCTTTTTTTGTAGATCAAATTATTATTTTGTTTACCACAATGAACATTTTTCATTATTATGTTTGGGTTCTAGAACGATCAATAAGATTCTCACATCGCAATTGGTCTAGAGAAATCTATAGCCAGTGGTTGTCAAGATTTTAAGCATAACAGAATGTGACCCGATTTCATTGAAAATGATTCACTTATGTAAAAGTATATATGACGTTTTGTGAAAAATCTGTATGTGATGGAGAAAAGTGGATATCATTTTCAGATTCAGCGTACAGAAATTACCGTAGAACATGTAAAAATTTCAAGACAGTAAAATCATCACAGGCCTTTGTAATTAGATGTTTGAATGTGTTGTATGTTGTGATTTTATTTGTAAAAGTTTCAATGTTACGTGTTGTAATTTTATTTTTATAAGTTCCAATGTTATGTGCTGTAATTTTATTTGTATAAGTTTCAATGTTACATGTTGTAATTTTATTTTTATAAGTTCCAATGTTACATGTTGTAATTTTATTTTTATAAGTTCCAATGTTATGTGCTGTAATTTTATTTGTATAAGTTTCAATGTTATATGTTGTAATTTTATTTTTATAAGTTTTAATGTTCATGTTTTGTACCTTTTCATAATAGCTGAAAGAGAGTGATACTTGTTACATAAATTAAAATGTGAACTATAATTAAAACTTGCATAAATTCTACAAATTTGACTTAATTTTTCTTAATTTAACCTGTTCAGATCACAGAACACCTTTCAGAGGTCAAGTTCATACCTGCATGTTAAGTTTTAAGTTTAAGTAAATATAATAATTCTAACTCTCTTTTCTTTGTAACATTTATTTAGTTTAATTTCTCAATAAAAAGTTACAATTTTTAATTTTTTCACACCTTTTAGAAGTCTTGCTTGTAAACAGTGCATTTATAGATTTTAATTTTTGTGCCCATTCCAGAGTAGAGATTTATAGTTGATAATTAACAATTTTTCACTGAGAACATAATCATCCTTATCATGTTGCTCCTTGATTTTCCCTTTCTCTTAGTGGTTTTACTATTACAGGCTTTCATTATGACACTTTTAAGGTGTTGCAGTATGTGATCTGAACAATTACTGTTGAAGCATATCTTTAAGACAACTATAGATAAAGCTTAAGAATAGTTAGATAGAGCATATTATAAACCATTTACATCAATGTACAGTAACAACCTGGTGTGAAGAGTAATTTATGATTTTGTGGGGAAGTTGACAATCTGAAATTCCTGTAGAGATGAACAAAAGAATCTAAGAGAAAGTTTAGAAGGCTTAGAAACAAATGACAGATCCAGGAATTTTTTATTGTTTCTTTAAGTGTTTTTTGTTTTTCTGAAAATATTTACATGTTAAAATTATATATGTTTGAAAGCTATGGAAACTTTTTTCCATGACAAAACTTCAGGTAAGCTTAAGTAAGATTAGTGAGCATAGTAGGTAACAGCAAAATATTCCAATGCCTCAAATCCTTATTTATTGAATATTATTGTTATTTTGTTGTATTTATACAATTCAAATATATAAAAGAACTGAATCAAGAATACTGTTAGCAAGAATATTATTACCTAGCCTCATACAGGTAAATGGTGATGTTATATTGAAAGGTTAAGCATTAGGTCACTGATAAGTTTTTGTCACTTTGATGTCTTTTTTAGGATTTATAGCTGAAAGTGGTGACTATTTCAATTGACATAATAAAGTTTTAAAAGAAATATGTTAATAAATATCAATTAAATTGAAACTGATTAATGTTGAACTTTCTGATCAACAATAAAAAAATGAAATTATAAGTCAAAAAACAAAATATTTTTAATGTTTTAAAGATATTGGAATTTTAAAAACCTAAAAATTATATAAAAACTAAATTCATATTTTTCTTTTCAAAACTAAAATTAGACATCATGTAATAAGTATTTCTGCCATGAGAAGTAAAAAAATATTGGGGAATACCAGTGACATCCCTCTTTTCAAAAAAGGGGTTAATATTTATTATTAACCCTTTTTGAGAAGAGATATGTCACTGGTATTCCCTGATAAATATTTATTATTATTATTACAATTCCTGTAATAAAATAAAGTACATAATAATACTATGTTTGTTTGATTACAGTGCTATGAAAAAATGAATAAATCTTTTTCACCATGAAGAATTTAAAAAAAAAAGAATCATCAAGATAACATTTTAGAAAGTACAAGTTTATAGTTTTTGTGACTGAATTGTACGAATGAATTTAAAAAATTTATCTAATGAACTTTAGTTGATCAGTCCATTTTTTGACATTCATATTTATCAAATGTAATTTAAAACAGAATTAAATTCTAAAATCTTGAGATGTTTTTGTAGATGTTTTATATTCTGAAGAGATTGATAGAGGACAATTCCTGATTTTGTTTGAATATGTTAATTCAGGCTAAAGAACTTACAATTTTAAAAGTTATAGAGGATGGGGCTTGATTCTGTGTTAGAGGCATTCATAAGTCTGGTTAATCATATCTTATGGTATATTGTTGAGCTACTTAGACATAGATCTAAATGTCATTATAGATGAATCTTTTGTAGTGAAGTACAGTTTTCATAACTATAAAAGTGGCGATGTATTTACTGTCATACAAAATAAATATCTTAACTTTTATATTAAAAAACAAAAAAGTTTATACTCAAAGACGAATCATTAATTCCAGTAAATTTACTGGAGTAAAATTGTTCCAACTACATGTAATTTAGTTTTGGCACAATTTCAACGTGTGAATGCACTTTACTGTATGATGGGTGACTTAAATTCTAGTTTTTTAATTACCTTTACTTGCTTGTCAGAGCTATTCCCAAATAGGTGGAAAGTCTTGTTTTTATTTAGAATTTATGTTCATGATGTAATTATTTTTTATTTTTAAATCTATTAAACCTGGCTGAAACACATCAAATTCTTTATTAATGTTACTGAATACTGTTTAAAACCTACTATAACTCATCTCATTTTTGAGTAAGAGTAATTGTACACTGTCAGCTTCAGAAACCGTGTTGTTCAACACTGTCATAGTATAGTTACAGTGGAATAATATTTTCTGTAATAGTAACATCAACATTATACTGCCTTTTAGATAAAAAAAAAAATTCATTTTTAAATATGCTTTATTAAAATCCACATTTCAGTTTTTTATTGTTATTAATATCTTAAGTTGTGAAAAGGTTCAAGGGTGTATATGCTAGGTCGTTGTCTGTGTGTCTGTACATGTACTTTTTGCACCTTAACTAGACTTCTAAGAAACAGCTTTTAATCAGGTTTAACAAGTCACTCCCATATAGGATGAAGAAAAAAACTGCTAATTTTGGGGTTAAAAGGTCAAGGTCACCATAAAAAAATTAGTTTCTGTGCTAAATAAAACATAACCAAAAAATGCAAACACACAAACATATTAGTTCACCATAACCAATAAAAAGTTAATAGTCAGGGGGATCAACCTTTCCGTTTTCTTTTTTTAGAGGTTTTTGTTTGCACTGTGCACTTCAGCTGGAAGTATGTCCAATGTGTAGAAGCCCCATCCAAGAACGTGCTGAAATGAGTTGATAAAAGGTAAAGTTTGTATGTGTGTGTGTTTTCGTGCATTTGCTTATACATTATTCATATATAGAGATTTTGTACTGATGATGATAAAGCCAATTAAAATATATGTACATATAATTGTTTTATTGAACTTTGTTACAACACACTCCTTTATCAAAAGTAAAATTATAGGTTTTATGATGAATATGACTAGACATCTACTTCTAAGAATAAACTTTATTTAAGCTTATAAAACAAATGTGCTCACTATGTGGATTTTTTTTTTTGCTTCATTCATGTTTTATGTGACAGATGTAACGTTTAGCAGATGTATTGTCAGATAAAAACTTACTCTGATAAAATATTTGAACTCATTTAGTGCTTTGTCCTAATCAGAATTTCTTTTAAGGAAGTAAAAATAATGATTCAGAATGTTAAAATACCTGAAATTTTTACAACTTATTTTTAGCTTAAAAGATTCTATTTTGTTTTTTACTTACGTTTTTGCATAGGAATTTATTATGTACTCAATAATTGAATTAGATCTCGGCAATTGCAGCAGTTTGATAAACATAACCTATAGTGATTATACAAGTTATTCTTTACATTATAATAACAAAAATCATGATTTTGAATATAGAACTTCAACAGCTCTCTATGACTTGTGTTTTTTAATGCCCTTGTAAATTAAACCTCTTTAATGCAGTCCCTGTTCATATTTGTGCCACAGCAGGATCAGGGTAAAGCTTAGATCATTCTCAACTAACCTGAATAATAGGTCATCTTTTTATGTTGCCGTTAGCAGTGAAACATGAAAATACTAATGTTGATTAATTGTTCATTTCACTGGAAGAATTGGGAAATTTAACATTTTTGTTTCTCAACGTACATAATAACTGCTGCAAAGTGAAATAATATATTCTATTTTTAAAAGAACATCTATATCTTAGTTTTATTTCCCTAGGTCTTCAGATCTCAGCTAACCAAAATGGTGCTACAAAGAACAGCGTTCATCCATTTTACCAAGTTAAGTTGATGCTGAGTAACAGGAGTTAGGCATTTTATGCAAGTAAATATAAAAAAGAATTGAACATAATTCCACTTCCATTATCTGTACAAGCATGAGATATTGGTTTGTCGTGTAGAACTATTTTTGGTAAAAACACAATATCTCACATAACCATACTTGTATTACAAAGACAATATTTATTTGTGGCTTCAATAAAGATACTAAACTTGATGTAATTTAAATAATAAAAAAATATAGCTTTTTTTGTTGAGGCTATCTACCACATTTTTTTATCTGCTATCTTAGTGAAAAAAAAAAAGAGACATTATATGAAGTTAATTCCTCTGCCAAAACAAATTCACAGCCACTTGTATTACTCTCTTGGTAATGATGGGAATCGGACCCAACCCTGCCAAGCAGAGAGTAATGAAAATTTTCTAGCCATTGTGGTGTAATACTACTTTGCATTTCCTATTTTTTAATTTTTTAGGAAAGACATTAGAATTATGTTAAAAACCAGCAGTGCTATTTGTAAAAGTATATTAATAGACACTTTTTCATATTTTGTCAGTATATCTTCAAAAAAACATAAAACTTTGAACATATATATACATATGTTAGCATGGTTATATATAATACTTGTTTGCTTTTTCTTAAATTTCAAAGGGGGCAGTTTTTCTGGGTATTAATGGGTAGATTTTACAAAAATAATAATAAAGCAAAAGGCAGAGTATAATAAAATTTTCTAAATTACTGACTCCAAATTCAAGTGTATGCTTCTCAGAAAGGTGGAATATTTTTCAACAAGAAAAAAAAAAGGTAGTTATTTTTTTCTGAGTTACATCGCCAGTGTTGAACCTTACTAGTTTAAATGTGCAAATTCAGAAGCGGAACTTGTATCATAGTTGTATTATACATTGTAACTAATTGCTGCAAAGAGTGTGATAAGGATTGTTGTTAATGTTTGTATAGTAGAGAGAGAGAGAAAGTGTGTATTTAATTTTAGCGAGGGTTTTGTGAAAGCTGTTCTTAGTATTTTTCCATATAAGCTTATTTAATTAATTATTTATAAATGTTAAAAATACTTTGTGCTGTAATCCTGGCTTCCTATTGGTTCAATCAAGTCTTTATTACCAGTACTACTACTATTACTCAAATTCTGTAAACTCTGATAGATCTGTACTTTGAATACTTGATCATGTTATTTATATATACTAATATATATATGTGTATATATATATTATTATTTCATCCAAGAGAGAATTAGTTGTGGCATACTCTTCCCTTATTTCATGTGTTACTGTTTTATGATGTGTTAATTTCATTAGCCAGAGCACCTGTTTGTAAAGGTAAGTGTTGCATGCAGGACTAGCTATTTATGATGTTCAACAGATAATCTTTGAAACGACATTTTCCACAGAATGACTTATGTAAAAGATATTATTCTATCAAGATTAGGATGATAAGGATAAGATTGGATTTGCTAATGCATGTTTATCTAAACTGAGAAAGAATTTTTGTCATTAGACCTATCAATGGTATATACTGATCTGAGTAATGGTTACAGGATGACGAAATTAGTGTTTTTTGTTGTTTAAAGTGAAACACTCAGTCAGGATTAAGTTGACTGTGTTGGCATCAGATTAGAAACCCAATAACCTGAGTGTTTTCAAAAGCACAAGAGTTAACTTATCCATGTTATCTATTGATTTGAACCAGTACAGAACTAAAATTATTGGTGTTGCATGATTTAAGTATTTACACTGAAAGTGTAATTAGATTTTTCCATGTTCTAAAGCAGTTTTGTATCAGTAAAATGCTTCAAAATTGGGCTTATCAGTGCTGTTTTTGGTTAGTACTGGCACAGTGAGTAAAGATGTAGAATCCTTGGTGTACATCCTTCAACATATTGAGTTTAGAATTAAACTTGATAATGTTGCTGATGCGTCTCTACTTGTACAGGGAGAACAGAATTAATTTCTCAGTGCACATCCTTCATGTCTAATATATTGAGTGTAGGGTTGAACTTGTCAGTGGTTCTGGTTGTTTAATACTAGTAAAGGGACAACAGAATTAATTTCTCAGTGCACATCCTTCATACCTAATATATTGAGTGTAGGGTTGAACTTGTCAGTGGTTTTTGGTTGTTTAATACTAGTACAGGGACAACATAATTAATTTCTCAGTGCACATCCTTCATGGCTATCATATTGAGTGTAAGGTTGAACTTGTCAATGGTGCTGGTTGTTCAGCACTAGTGAAGGAAATACAGCTTAGATTTCTCAGCATACATCCTTTATGGCTAATATATTGAGTGTGGGGTTAAACTTGTTAGTGGTGCTGGTTGTTTAATACTAGTACAGGGAGAAAAATTAATTTCTCTGTACATATCCTTCATGGCTAACATATTGAGTGCAGAGTTGAACTTGTTATTGGTGATTGTTGATTTGTATTAGTACAGGAAGAACAGAATTAATTTCTCGGTGCACATCCTTCATGGCTATCATGTTGAGTGTAAGGTCAAACTTGTCAGTGGTGCTGGTTGTTCAGCACTAGTAAAGGAAAATCAGCTTAGATTTCTAAACATACATCCTTCATGCTTTGAGTGTAGGTTTGAACTTGTAAGTATTGTTAGTTGGTCTGTACTGGTACACTAGTAACAGAGATTTCTTAGTAGTTGATAATCATGGCTAACATATAGAGTGTAGATTTTAACCTGACAGTGTTGTTTGTTGGTTTGTACTTGTACAGTGAAAACAGGCTTAGCTTTCTTCATTCAGACCCCTTGTGGTCAAGATATTGAAAGTGGATATATATTTTTTAATTGTCAGTGTCACTGGTTGGTCTGCTAGTATATTGAGAACAAGCTTATATCTCTCAGTTAAATCTTCCATAGCTGCCCCCAGTGGCTCAATAGTAAGTCTGAGGACTTATGAAGCTAAAAATTGGGTTTTGATACTCATGGTTGGCACAGTACAGATAAATCACTGTGTAGCTGTGTGCTTAACAACAAATAAACAAATCTTCCATGGCTAACATATTGCGTGCAGGTTTTGACGTGTTAGTGTTATTCATCTAACCCATTAAGACAAGGTATGTTTCTGGTATGGTAATATCAACATACAATGTTATATTAATGTCATAATCAGTGTTAAAACTGAAGAATGATAGAAGATTAAGATTAGTTCATATTCTTTGAATGTTACAAAGTACTTATGGTATTAATCACAACTATGTTCTTTTATATTACATCTCTCTGGTTATTTTTAACTTTAAAACACAAAAAAAAAAGATGCACACTAAACTCATATAGTGAAAAGTAACTGTTATTTTGTCACAATCATCTCTTGTATAATTAGAAGCTCATTTGTATATAAATTTCTTTTGTCATTTTTTTTCACAAGAACCATAACATTAAGTAATGTTGCCACAAATAATATTTTCAAACCGACCTTGTAGTGATTCTAAAAGAATAAAGCCAGATAGTTTTAAGCTGTCATGGTTATTTTATAATTTTCTATGCTTTAGTAAAAAAAAAACATCCCATTTCATTCTTTTGTTCACAATTGATTTAATATTTTATCACCGTATATATATTTTAAGAATTATTCATCACAGTGGCTATATTTTCAGCTGCCAGTTTTTGTGCTCATATTCTATGGTGATTTCATTGTTTTACAACAAAATCCTAAATGAGCTTTGTTTTTTTACTATTAAATTCCTGTTGTACATAATCTTTGTGAACCCTATTGAGTGTATTCTACATGTAGAAAAACTAGAATGTAGCACAGTTGAACTGCTGTTTCCTCATGGATAAAGCAGAGATAATCAGATTTCAGGAAAGTTTTTAAGATTCTAAAGTATGGTTTAGACAATGAAGGTGTTAGGTATAATGTACCTAATTTTAGTACAATAACCAAGTATAAGTTTTATATGGTACAACTACAGTTGAAAGAAAACAATTAACAAATAAAATGACAATACTAAATAATTTGGATCTGTGTAACATACGAATGTGTATGTTGTTTAATAAGTTTCTCTTTCAATGAGGTGCCATAAATGTAATTTGTGTTTAACACTTCCTGTTATAAGTGCAGAGGCTCTAAATACAATAAAACTATTTATATTGTATGTGTCTTATACCAAGTACTTTAAATATATCTAATTGTATTGAAAAGGGGTATTTTATATGACAGCTATTACATAAGATTATCAATTCACCAGCAGAATTTTCAAAATTTAGTTTACTTAGTTTCCTGTAAAAATTGATAATTCTTTTTTAAATTATTAAATGATTAGCAATTTGAGTTCACACTTTATGCAGTGAAGTTAACTAAAATCAGTCTGAGCACATATGAAAATGTCTATTTTTGAGCTGGAAATTAAGTTAAGATTTTTTTTTTTTTGAGAAAATTCTTAGGAACGTGAATCCAATTACAATCAGTGTATAAGAAAGAAGTAAAAACCTGTTTAAGTGCAAGCATGATGAATTGTTTGAAAAGTATAAAAAGCTTTGTGATCTTTTCATTAAAAAAGTAAAAATGTTCTTTGTGAAGTGCCAATTTTTGTGTATTATTCCAAATACGCACATATATAAAAACATCACTTTGATCAATCACATGTACCATGTTTTTCATGTTGAGAATTATAGTTCTGGTATAATCTATATCCTAAGTCAGTTTGAGAGAAGTAGAAAAAAAACAATACCAAATAGTATTAAGATAGATTACACTATTTAGAATCCCAATTATGTAAAACAACAATATTCTAGGTTTTTTATATACACTAAAAAGAATGTTGAATTTTAGTGCTTGTTTTGATTATTTCTGTTACCAGGGCATAAAGTTTTCATCCCTAAAAATTGATACTAATAAAAGTCTTTAATCCATTTTCATGTCTGAAAAATTATTGTGTGTTCCTTGAATTGATATTATTTTTAATTTTGCTTCTGTTCTACAGGAAAGTGTGAGCATTTATTTATAATTTGTTCATGGACTGTTACCAATTTAATCAAGATTAGGGTTTTATAGTTCTTTGATTGTGGAAATTTAGGTCATCGATATGACCATTCATCTTGTAGTCC